CGTCAGGCGGAAAATGCAGTCGCTGATTACATGAGCCTTTGTCTAAACTCCTGGTATCCCCCTTACTAAGCCCTATAGTAGTCCCCTATATAATCCCCTATATAACCCTCCCTTTATGGAGTTTAGACTATAGCTCACCTGTCACAACAACATGGCTAAATCCGGTCACTGAGTCTGCACCTCCTCCCGCAGGCGCAGTTGTAGCAATATCTCATCCAGCTCCTGCAGCATCAACTGCAAGAGAACAGCGCAAGCATCTTCAGCAAAGTACTTTCCCATCTAGCTGCCTTGGTTTGCTTGTGCGCTTATGGAACATGCCCCCACAACGCTGGCAGCGTGCTGGAATGTCAGATTTCGGGCTTTGTTGTTTCTGGCATCTGCACTGCATCGCCGCAGTATGTGGTGATGGCTAAGTGGGCGGTGCCCTGACGGCCCTCGCCATTCTGTACAGATCCCCCGTTTCTGAGCTGAAGGTCTTGTGGTTTCGAGAGACCGGCTTGATAACTGTTAGGACTATTATGTTTGTTATTCTATTGCTATGATTATTACGACTATTCCTAGAACTAATTACTGTTGGTATTACAAGTACTATCAATATCTTAGCAAACACATCCTTGCCTTGCCGCGTCTAACAGAATTCCTGCAGCCCTGGACTTCAAGAAGACCTTGAACATAGAAAGACCTGGTGTATGGAGCTTCCAAAATTCATATCTCCAATAACGGATAGTCAAACAGAAAGAAGACACTGCAAAAAATGGAGACTGTGCTTATATGTTAGTTTTTGAGGATAATGGTTGGGGCCCCCGCAACAGGGACTATAATAATTGGTGCCTATATTGGGGTCCCCCGATTTATGGAAAATGACACGCCCTAAACCCTAAACCCTAAACCCAACCAGAGCACAGTCACAGTTTGGATGCAGCAGACACAGGCTGAAGGGGTTCGATTCATGGTTCAGAGGAGGGAGACAGAGAGAGAGAGAGAGAGATTGCAATTTCAAACCTTAGCCGAAAGACTTGTCGACTAGCCTGCGACTGTTCAACTCCTGCTGTTACGGGCTATGGCCCATGGTCTGACTGTCCCCAATAATCGCTCTGAGGGCCATTGGCAGTATGACCAAGGCCTCATGGATATAATATGGAGATAATGAATCTAGACCACTATGGGCTATTAGTCCTTAAGGGTACCTTAATCTACCCTTAATAGGGTCCTAATAGGGAATTTTAGGGTCTAATAGCCCATAGTGGGAGGGCTCTAAGTACCCACAAGCCTTCTGACCTAAGCCTGACAGGAGCAGTCGACTCGCTGATCTGCCCGCATCTCAAACTCGAGGCTTCACTCCCATCAATCGTTCTTCTTGTCCTGACCAGCTGGAGAAGCCAAGGATGAAATGGGTAACTGGGTGGGGTGAACGCCTCAGTTTAGAGGGAAGGTACTAAGGATGTTGCGAGACTGGAGGATGCTCTCATGAATGTTCGGGCATCACGACTGCCGTGCCTTGCCAGACGGCGCGCAATGTTCTTGGGATCGTTGCAGTTTGAAGGGTGCCTACTGAACATTCGAAGAACTCGAGAAGTCGTGTCCCTGCAGCTTTCATATTTTTGTTGGAACTGCCATCATTAGTTCGTAGTAGCAATACTACAACTGTGCTTACAGCCATCATTCGTCTAATCACTACGTCTTGGTCCGATGATGCCTACACTCATTACTAAGCCTCTCCTCGTAGTAATTAATCTCCAGCCCCCTAACACAACATCTTCCAAGTGTACCAACCATATCGGGGTATTGATTGTCACGGGCGTGAGGGGTTCATCATGGCCCTAAAGGCTCGACCCTGAACTCTAAATAACGAGGCAGCTTCAAATTGAACACTCGAACCCCGGGGGGGGGGGGGGTTGATTGTGGCAGGGGATTGTGATGATGCTTCACGGAGCCCTCTAGGTAGCCTTGAAATAGACTAAATTACCACTAATTCCATCAAAATAAGCTTCATTCAGGGGGAACCTGGCCGGGGAGAAGGATGGAAGGGGTGGTAGGGAACCCATGAATATATGAGCTATAGTCTAAGCTCCTAGTATCCAAGTTAGTAACCCTTTTAAGGAGTTTCGGCTACAGCTCATGTAGCCCAAAACCCTGAACCCTAAACCCTAAATAGTACTTTCCATGTTGTTCTCCATTTTCCCCTATTGCTCATATTGTCGTTGCTACAGCTAGCTCAGCTCCTGAACCTCTTCGGCTTCTGCAGACTCGGTGAAGTCCTCATCAAAAGCACCTCAGGCATCAAACCTAAGCCCCAAAACCCTAACCCTAAGCCTTAAACCCTGAAGGCTAAACCTGAAACCCTAAATCCCAACCCTAAAGCCCAAGCCAAGCAACTCCAAAAAGGCATCTCTATCACTCTTCCTTAAGGTTTGTCTAGGTGCTGGCTGGCTTCCGGTTACTCTACTTGGAGGGTCAGGCAGACTTGGTAAGTAGGTTAATAACCCCTATAACCCATACAATGCCCCCATTTATCCCAATTATTAACCTACTTACTTAGTCCCCCTGACCCTAAACCCTAAACCCTAATCCCCAAACCCTTGAGTAGTTTCCATTTTCTTTTCCAGTGTAAGACTCCCCAAGTATAGGATGGCCATTAGGGTTTTGCGCCCTACTTGGGAGTCGAAGTTCGGAGGCCGCCTTGGCAATCTTTGAGTTTAGGGTTTCGGGTTTAATTCGGGTTTAGGGGCTTAGGGTTTAGGGTTTAGGGATTTGGGGTTTAAGTAGCGTGTTGAAAGGGCACGGGATAGGGATTCAAAAGTTGAAAACACATGGAAAAGAATGAAAGATGAACGGGGAATTGGGTTGCTAGAGGGGCTGATGGGGGTGACGTAGTGGAGAAGCCTGAATGACGACCAATACCGACTCAATGAGTCATGAGCTATTGCTTCCTCCTCTGACTGACCGTACAATATCCGTTTCTGGCAGTGCAGGATCACTGGTAGATGGGCAGTCCCAGCATTCCAGATCTGCGATCTTGACTGGCTTTGGGTTAGCTGGGAATGAAGGAATCGACAAGAGAAAGGAAACTACTACAAATGGATCCTTATAGTAGTCTCTATGTTATAGCCCATTGTGGTAGTTTCCAGTTTGGTTTCCATTCTTTCATTCCCAGCTAACTTAAGGCCAGTCAAGTCTTTCTGGATCCATACCGACACTGCCCAAGCATCTATAGCCTGTGCCTAAACCCTAAACCACATAGCCTAAGGTAGCAAGTTTAGGGTTGTCGGCGAGTTCCCTTTGGTTCAAATTTTGCTACCTGGACTTTCCAATGTAGGTGGCTCTGGGGATGTCCAGCCAGGACACAACCCAAAAGGAATCACACTACCAGAGAATCCCCGAATAAGCCCAGATTCCGCTTCATTCGCAGGTTCGTGTGCATTTGATTCTCCATTATTCTACTGATTTGGGCCCCTGCCTAGACCATCTACTCTCAAAAACCCAGAACCAACACCCCGAAGCCTTAAACCCTAAAGCCTTGAACCCTTAAACCCTAAACCCTTTAACCCTACACCCTAGCCCTATTCCAGCTATCCTTGCAGGCCAGCCACGAGACTTATCCACTGGGTAGATGTGCCGCTGGTAGAGGTAGAGGAGGAAGACAACATCATCTCTGAAGCACGACATGCCTTGTTCTTGGGTTTAGGGTTTAGGGTTTAGGGTTTAGGGGCACTACCCCAATTTCTGGAACTGTAAGAAAAAATAGAAATGACATGAAAACTGGAGTTTATACGTGGAATGTGTCCGTCGACCCTCGGCAAGGTTCGGATCCGCGTGTGGTGTGTGTTTTTTTCATTCTGTTTTGGCGAGGCCTGACCATGCAGCAACCCCCCCTCCTCCGCCCGCCAATCGGAAGCACGAAGCTCAGATTTGAGGGGACCAGCCACTGCGCCGAGGTGGTCTCGCGTTAGCGGCAAAACTAATCACCTCTGGTCAGCAAGGAATGAATGAAAGGACGCGAAACTGGAAATAACAGCATTACTGGCGTAACAGATAAAATAGGCGCTATGTACTATCAGTGGTTTATGTAGGGATAATATATTCAGAGGTAAGGGCTATGCGAAGTCATGTTTGGAGGATGTTCGGGATTCAAGGTCAGCATGTAAGGGAGTGGATCCTTTTCAAGGTCTATATTGGGGCCCCACCAATCATGTATGGAAAGTAGGCAACAACATGCTGGACGTTTCTATTGCCATTGGCATGTTGACATGAGTTTTTTTCATGGCAGGTGCTCCAACGGTCAACATGCAGAAAAGCGCTTATTCCCGAAATATCCATGGCCCCCGTCCCGGAACTCAGCAGATGACGGTGCATTGTCGGCATCTTGATGATGAACGCAAAGAGATCATCCTTGCAGGAGCTTACAAACCCTAAGGGTCCATGTACCCAATAATTAGGTACTTGGGATTTGGGTAATGGTAATTATAATACAGATTTTGGGTAAGTATATGATTATTCAGTACTTGGACCCTTATAGGGAAAACTCCACTCAATGGCTTGGCGTTCCGGTGGCAATGGCGGAGATGCGACAATCATGCTGTTCAGGTTACACCATCCAGGACTCACATATGCAATACGTGTAATACATAATATATACATATACACTAACCACATTATGAGGCAATAAATATGCTGAAGCCGCCACGGGTGTTTCTTGCGTTTGACGTCTTGCACCATGCAGGGCAGCTGCATTAACATGTCTACGCTTTACGTAGAATTCTGTATCGTGATGCCAGGCATTACGGGGCTCTATCAACAGTGTCTGCAGTAAAACACTTGGGGTACCTTTACAGGGATTATAGAGGTTATATAGGGGATATATAGGGATAATGGAACAGAAAATGGAAGCTACCATTTAGGGTTTGGGGGTTTCTGAAATTTAGGGGTACCATTCTCGGGTGCCCCATAATAAGGATGAATGTATTTTGGGGTCTATGTTGGAGTCCCCTTCTTTAGGGAAACTACCACATGCAGACAAGGGGCAATGAAGGTGTTGATGGCTCCTGAGCACTTTCTACGCTCTGGGACATTGGCTTTGCCATTACTTGTTGCAAATGGAATATCTTGAAAGAGCCACATCCAGAAAACATCCCGCGCAAGAATGAAGACCAGGCGCTGTAGATGAAGCGCCTCCAGGGAAGGTGCGCCACTGATTTCATCCGGTAGTTGATGAAGAGCTGTGGCGTCCTGAGCAGTCCACTCTTCTAAGGGTGCAGCAGCCCCTTTCAAGAAGATCTGCCTTGGAAATCATAGGTGCCATGACTACTAAGTGCATTCCGTGGAATTCTTCTCTAGTGACTAGTCCTATTCCTATTACTCCCTAGGGCTCCAGTTACCTAAATAGTAGGTTACTGGGCTATGTAACTATAGGGTATATAGAATCCAGTTCCCATTATTTAGGTAACTGGAGCCCTAGGGACTGTTACTATATTACAAGCTGGCTTGCTGCGAGACCGTCTCTACCGCATCATACTATGTTCAGCGGCATGAGACACCCCAGAAGCACCTCGGGATAGGCGGGCCTCCCCGCGACTGATGCCAAATACTAGAAGCGTTATTGAGATCAACAGTAACCCTAGGGCTCCAAATAGCCCAATGCAGGTACTATTTATAGGCATTGGGGCCCAATGTAGGTATTATTTATAGACATGGAGCCCCAGGGTAAAGAGGGGGCACAACCATCGGGCCCGAAAGCGGGTAATTGAAGGTCTGCAGCGCATGACTATGCTCACTGTGCAGCTGCAGCAGGCAGAGAATCATAGATAATTCACAGCATGTCAAGCATGGTACGAATACCTGTTTCAAGTGGTCCGCGGCTACAACTCGCCGAGCTTCATGAGAGCGAAGCCCAAGGCATAAACCAAGGACGCAGCTACATGCAGGAAGTACCTTGAGTGGACGGCATTAGGAATGCTAAGGAGACTTGGTTGGTGTACAGTTTGGGAGGTTACCAAGGTGGCTCAGTCCTGGATTATCTTGATCAATTATCCCAAACTCATGTATGTTCGTAAGGGCACGGCGACACTCAGAACCGCTTAGAGAGGTGCTGTCCATCCTACCCTACAGGTCCAAGTACTCAATCATCACGTACCTACCCAAAACCTGTTCTTAAACTACTAGCACAAAAATCTCAAGTACCCAACCACTGGGCACATGAACTCCTAAGACGAAACTTTGGTGAAAGTTGCTTACATAATTACCGATGTGTTTTTGAGGTCTGCCTAAGGTGCCCCATACCAGCATCATAGAAGCAACCCTGGATCATGATACGATCATACTGGTGATCTTTCGGGCTTTCTCTTTCTCTGCTCGGAGAAAAATGAGATGGCAGCACTTTGAAGCTTGGCTCTCTTGCTTTCTTGGCATTCTCTACCTGATTTTCTCGCAAGATGCCGCGTGAAGTCACAATACTTGAGCGATCCTGATTTGCAAGTTAGTGGTTGTCAGTAGGGAACCGACGAATGGATCCGCACAGTAGACAATAAGAAGGTAATTGTTTCAAGATTGCTTTCCACTCCCTAAAGCCTGAACATTACAAAGGGGTTTCCATTTGCGATGTACAATTCTCTAAACTCTTAAACCCTCAGTAGCAGTTTCCAATGGCCCCATCCATGTCCTACCTTTTACAGCCGAAGCAGTAGTTTCCAGTTGCAAGCAAACTATTTCTCTGAACTTAGACTGCAGGGTGCCCTCGTCGTGCAGAGACATTTTTTCTGAAAGCTTACACGGGGTTCAGGCTTTAGGGCTTAGGGTGGATGTCACGATAGGACTGGCAAATGGCAAACCCTAAACCCTAAACCCTAAACCCTTAAACCCTAAACCCGTATACCCTAAACCCGGGTAGTAATCATGCCCCAGGCCCCAGTCACTTACAATGTAAAGTTAGACGTCCGTTTTCGCTCGACTTAGTAGCAAGTAGTGGAAAACCTTGCAACACCCCAAGCCCGGATATCGTGAGCTTTTTTATTCCAAACTAAAACTTCGCCAACGAAACCCTAAACCCCAAAAGGCCCAGTTCAATGTGCAACCTTCCCAGTGTAGAACTTACATGTGCGCCTGCCCCTAAACAAGCGAAACGCAAGAAGAGAACCCCTTCAACTTCCCAATGACCTAGCACGCGACCTAGAAGTCACACAAAAATTAACACCTAAACCTTAGTGCACCGACCAGCTGCGCAGGGTGGCTCCTGTGGCACTCGTACCTTAGCCCATACTACCCTAGGAAGAAAAAAGGATCCTTTTAACATAAATATAAGGAATCCCATACATCAAGAAGTATAAAAGGATCTCTAAACCCTATATATGCCTTTAATATCCCTATGTAACCACTATATCCCCCTCTAATCCTAAACCCTAAACCCTAAACCCCAACCCTAAACCCTAAAGGATCCCTAACATTGATCCAGGTACTTGGCTGAGTATCCAGCATATCCGATCACGATTGGGACCAGGATCTGCGCAATCAGTAGATAGAATATGGGGCAGGGTTTTAGGGATTAGGGTTTAGGGATTAGGGTTTAGGGGTTTATTGGGAATATATAGGAATAATGGAAAGAACATGGAAACTACTATATTATAATCGGGTATGTATTGGGGTTGTAAAGATCTCATCTTTGATGGGCTGAAAAAATAAGTTAAACTGCATGGTCAGGTATCACCCCTACTAAGGGTCAATTCTTAGGGAGTATAATGAATTCCAAAGGGTTAAGGGTCTTGTCATGTTATACATATATATATATCATGTTGTATCCTATTTGTTCTTCAAAATCATGCCATCTTGTGGTACCATCTGATACGGATGTCTGCTCGGATGTCGAGGATTCGCAGCCAGCCATGCGAAGAGTGCGCAGCCTACGGCGCGCACGCCGCTACAGAAGCAAACGGAGCTTCGCGCCCACAATCCCTCTGCCGTACCGCAGTTTTTACATTAAACAAGCCACGAGTTATCCAGGCAACATACCGTGACACACCCTAAACCCTAAACCCCAACGAAACTCCTATATCTATGTGCTGCCTAGGGCATGTTCAACAGGACCCATGATTTTGACATAGACCCGTTAGGTCAGGGTTTAGGGCTGAAAATAAACCCAATCAATACTTAGACACGAGCACGCTGAGCGCTCGGCATAGGATAAGTATATCAATGCCATCTTATCGTAGTCGTCCTTGGCGAGGAGGGATGGTGCAGAATACTTTGAAAAGCCCCTCCACTCCCCCCAATATTAAAGCCAGCCACCTAGTATTAACTAGTCCCATGGTGACATACTACAATATGTTTATAGAGGGACTTGTAATATCAATGGGGCAGAGGCTTTAATATCAGGAGGAGGAGATTTTGCAGATCCCTATCCAGGGCGCGTTGTGCTTGGCTTCCTTCCTGCCTCAGGTTTAGGGCTTAGGGTTTAGGACGAAGGCAGTAACCAACAATTGGGGATTCGTAGATGCACCACAAAAATCCCCGAACATCAGAGGAACTAAACTTTCCCTGAAGCTCCGAGCAACCCAGAGTAGGTGCCACTCATGAGTTTCAGGGTGCTGAGTAAGTATCATCTGTATGGGGGTTTCCCAAAATTATGGGTACCTTTTTGGGGGTCCCCATAATAAGGACTATAGTATTTTGGGGTCTATATTGGGGTTCCCCTCTTTTGGGAAACTACCATATGAACCGTCAAGGCCCTTGCATAAGCCCAGTTTCCATTTCATTTTCCATTTGACTTTTCAACAAGACCGGGGAAAAATATCTCTAAATCCTAACTAGTATGCATTTAGGGACTTGGATCCCTAGGGTTTGGAAAGCGGACGGCATTCAGCCGACCCCTGAACCCTAAACCCTCGGACCTAAACCCTAAAACCTAGACACTGAACCCTAAACTCTAGACCCGAGACCCTAAACCCTAGACCCCACCCTAGACGCTAAACCCTCCACCCTAAACCTTATACGCAAAACCTCAGCCAGTTTAGCCCTGGACGAGGCTCTGCACTGGAGTGCGGCACCCGGCTTTTGAAGGTGGGGTAGACGAGGATTCCATTCCTAGCGAAGCTCACCTGCTTAGGGTTCAGGGGTTTAGGTTTTAGAGTTCAGGGTTGAAAGTTTCGGGTTTCTGGGTTTAGAGTTTAGGGTTTGTAGGGTCTAGGGTCAAGAGTTTAGTGTTTAGGGTTTATAGGGTTTAGGGAAGCATGATGGGAAGGCTAGTATCGTGGATGCTTTTGTGTCTACCACCACCACTACCATCACTACAAGCAAAAGACACTACAGCCGGTCCACAGATTTTGCTGCACACAGCCTCCCTAGACCCTAAATCCTAAAACCCCTGCACCTCCAGAACTTGCGTCAGCTTCCAGCAGTCCACAGCGATCTGGCCTAAGGAGAGGATCAAGATCAGCCAGTTCGACTCTTGATCGTACCTTACTTGCTGGTTGGGTTTAGGGTTGGGGTTTAGGTATGGAGCCGAAAAGAGAATGGGAAACTGCTGCAGGGTTCAGGGTTCGGAGTACCTTACTTGCTGGTCGGCAGGCTAGGGTAGGGATACATCCGGCCCCTTTAGAGGGAACGGAAAACCAAATGGAAAAGAACATGAAACATGAAAAGGAAACTAGGGGTGCAAACTGATGCACTTGGTTTAGGGTTGAGGGGCTTGCTCGCGGGGAATGATGGAAAGGAGAAAATGATGTCAACAAACCCTAAACCATAAACCTCCGAATCCGCTCTTCAACTCACGCTCAAGCAGCGCTGCGTCAAGATCATGGGCTTGACTTCCAAGGTCTCAACCGGAATTCTGCACCAACCACTTAAGACGTTTTTGGGTGGCTCAACCAAGCAAGGTTACCTTCTTTGGTTTATAATACCATAACCCAAAGAGGATATGTTCCCTAGATTTTGGACTATAGTATCCCCAAGTAAAGTTCTGACGGTCTGAGGCGTGATTCACGGGGCACCTGACATGACGGGCTTTGAGCTTGCTGGCTGTGTTGGATTTACTGGTTGTGGATAGGTAACATGGAGATGATCTCTTCATACTATGAGGATTTGTGGGGTGATATGAGCCTTAGTCTAAACTCCTAGTATCCCCTGAAAAAGCTCTGTAGTAGTCCCCTATATAATCCCCTATTAAAACCCCATTTAAGGAGCTTCGACATCTAAACCCTAAACCCTAAATTCTAATCCCTAATCGCTAAACCCTAATCCCTAAATCATGAACCCTAATCCTTAAACCCCAAACCCTATATATTCCTCTATATAACCACCCTTTGAGTGGGGAACAGCCCCTTGCTCTGCTTCAAGGACCGGTAAGTGGAGGGTTTAGGGTTTAGGGACTTTAGGGTTTAGGGTTTAGGGTTTAGGGTCCAGGGTTTAGGGATTTTAGGTGTTTCAGGGTTTAGGGATTTCAGGGTTTAGGGTTTAGGGATTTTAGGGTGTAGGGTTGGATGAAAGGCGTTGAGTCTGTCGGAGGGGTCAGCCCAAGTGGTTACAGCAGGCTGCGTGCACGAAAATTCACGACATCTGGTTTCTTTGAAGCAAAGCCTACTACAACCTGAAATATGGGGAGCATGACAGTTTTTGTGCAAGGTGGAAACCCCGAATAGGCACAGCATTCTGTGCCACGATTTTCTTCGTAGCGTAGGCACGCAGAGCAAGGGTTCTCTCTGATGAACGCTGCTGATGCAGCCAAGCGGCAGGTAAAACCACAGCACAATGTTGCCTGAGTTACTTACTGGGAGTTAGTAGGGAATATGGGAAGCGTATTCATTTAGAGCACATTCCCTGATTCCCTACTAACCCCAGGAAATGAGCTAGCAATGTGAGCTGCAATCGCGATTTCCTACAGACTTTAGTGGACGTGGGTTCCTTATTATTAGGGGCTACATTAGGGACTGTACTAAACTACCAGAGGGACGCCTACTGTTGATCAACAGTATGTCCACTGTTTAGGGTTCCTGATAAGGCTAATATTGACAGTAGCTCATGTGAGGGGCCTCTACCTGCCTCTTGCTGCAAGGCCCCTAAACCCTAAACCCCGAACCCCCCCTGAACCCTAAACCGCTTGCTGGCAGACGCCTCCTGATAAGAAGAAGCACACCATAACTCATGGGTTAGGTTTAGGGTTTGGGGCTCATTTTTTTGTGGCGCCTTTAGGGTTTAGGGTTTTAGGGGGCCCTTGGAACAATCAGGACATATCCCTAATAATGCAGAATCAAATGGCAAAGAGCATGAAATACTAACTGGCAACTGGGTTAAGGGCGCTAGGTGCGTTGAATAACAAGTCTGGCTATTTCTCCAGCCGCCATGTCAAAAGTATTCCATATCCTCCACTTCAATGCTTCTCCCGCCACGCCAAGAACTGGATGATTCTGAGTGGTGTTTGGGGCTCCGATCCTTGAGAAACGCCATATCCTCCACACATGCTACACCTGCTTGTACTTCAGAAATTTGATCCAGTCCCCACTCTTCCTTAGAGACCAGCAGCCAGTAAACCATACTAAATCCTAAAGCTTAGACCCTAAACCCTAAACTCTAAACCCAAGACAAGATACAAACGATCTCCAAGCCTACAGCCCGCAGCGAGACGAACCTCTTCAGGGTCTCGGCATCTGTCCTCTTCCAGAACAGCACCTCGGGTGTTGAGGCTGCTGTGCCGGCTTAACATGAGCTATAGTCTATAGTCCAATCACCTTAAAATGGTTCTATAGGAGATTATATAGGGGAGTATTGTAGGGCTTGTTAAGGGGAATACTGGGATTTTAGACTTAGCTCAGGTCGGTATCGGATCGGGGCGGTTTCTAGTAGGAGCTTGGTGCATTAAACAACTACTTGCTGTCAATCCTCCGGTGCTACTCTAGACTGCAGGACGTGCTGTGTGATTGCTATTATACCCAGGGGATAAGGGATGATAATATACCACCTTGAAAGGAACTACATAGCAGGGTCTGGGTATAACCTAATTAAACCCTAAACCCCAAACCCTAAACCCCAAACCCTACGCCCTAAATCCTAAACCCTAAATCCTAAACGCCAAATCCTAAACCCNNCCCTGGACCCTAAACCCGAAATCCCAAACCCCAAACCCTAAACCCTAATATGCAGTCAAGCATCATCATTCTTCAGTGCGAGGTACTCAAAGATCATGTGCAGAACGGACACCACCATGGTAGCTATAAGCAGATATGAGTTGGTGTTGGCAAACCTGAGTGCAGAATGCCTACCAGCATGCGCTTATGATCCCTAACAGATCCCTGACAAGGACGCCCTAGGGATGCTAGGGGCCCCCCTTTCTTGAGAAAATACCACCTGAGCACATCGCTCGTCATCGAACTCTGCAGCTTCGCAGCAAGTCCCGCATCTGGACTATTGCCTCGTCGTCTTCACCTGAGAAATACTGCTGCGTCATCTGCTTGATGCTGTGCTCCATCCTTGCAAGAGACGACAGGATAAATGGGGAAACAAATGGGTATATCGGATAGATGGAGAAATGAAGGGATACACAGGGAGGGATTTGCAAGGGTATGAAGGATATATGGGAACAAAGAAGGGAGTACAGGGGATTGGGGAAGGAAACAGAAACTACCCTAAACCCTCCCCTTTTAACCCTAAACCAGGACCCTTCTACAGGCTCTAGAGGCTATCGAATTTCTGTTTTCAATTAAATGTCCCTGTCTACATATTGCCTAAAATTAAGACTATGGCAGTAGGGCTTAGGTTTTAGGACTATAGCGGTTGTGTGGTATATAAGAGGAACCCTCATTTTGGGGAAGCCACCACACAAGTACGTGGTGTTAATGGGATAATGTAGGGCATATAGACATAATGGAAAATGAGATGGAAACTACTCTAGTATATAGGGGTTATATAAGTATAATGGAAAAGAAGATGGAAACTACGATTTAGGGTTTAGGGTTTAGGGACACTGTCTAGATAGAATTCTGAACCTTTAACGAGCCCGGACCATACCTCACCCTGGAGCAATGATGATAGGGTTTGCTTTGTGTACATACATTGGTCTATTTCGATCCCTGCTAATTAAACCCCAAACCCTGAACTCTGAACCCCACTCAATATTACCTACACAGGGCAATGTGGATCCCTAGGTGAGTTATGAATCTGCGACCGGGCGTCGTGTGCTGAAATCGCCAGCGCGCTGCTGACATCAGCCCGAAATGGATCTCCTAGCGTCTGGTGGCTTCTCGAAGCAGGCTTTTGGTACGGAATTCCAGGGTGTGTATATATATACATAAATACCTAGACTCTCCTCCTACCCTCTATTAAGGCCTAAGTACCTACTATTAGGGACCATCTATCCCGAATTAAGGGTACAAGGAAGGTCCTGGTACGGTACTGGTACGTACAAATACATTTTGGACAGACATGTCTCGGTGCCGAATGCCTCGACAAAACAAATGTCTTCCACACTGCCGAATCATGCTAAACTTATCCCGAAAGGTACCTGTTTTTTTGGGTTATAGGACACCTAATGGCAGGTACTGAGGCCCTACTAGAGGGTAGGTGGAGGGTCAGGACATCAGTCAATTCCGAAACTTTGCAACGCGAAGTTCGCTGCATAAATTGCATGAATTCATCATGGACAAATCCTTGCAAAGACCTTCATACTCCCCATGTGAACTCAACATACCCGCGGGGTGCCTAGTCAGGTACGTCTAATTTGAGAGATCCGTATGAGAGTTCCGCTGAATCAGCCAAGCCGCCGTTGTAAAATTATCTTGTCCGCTGGTGTCGAACTTTATGAGCTGGTCATTGGTCATCCAGAACTCATCTACATACCTCGAAGCCGCAATGTCGCTGTGTACACATCTGCACAGAGCATTTTCTAGCCGCCCCCATGGTGCTCAGGAACTTAAATTGCCATAATAAGGTAGTACCGTAAATGACGGAGTTTCCTCCTTATAGTAACTTACTTGGATTGAAGTTCCCTAACAGCAACCCAGTACTCCTAGACTCAATGTATCGAGTGCTGGTGGATATGGCCAATTTCGATTCAAGACTGGGCTGCTTTAAAAGAACTGAAAGTCAAAGTTATCACTATGGGGCAACCATGCTATTTACTACATACATTTACATATATACTATCCGTCTTATGGTAATCCCAGCGGCATGGTAGGGTAGTAGTGATCGAACTTCCAGGGCCGTGGGTAATGCGTGCGGTCGTAGACCAAGCGAACCTCCGGAACATGAGCTCCACCATCTTCAATGTGATCTAGAGTCTAAACTCCTTAAAGGGGGGGGTAGATAAGGGATTATACAGGGGATAATGAAGTATAGAGTATAGGGTTTAGGGTCTAGAGTCTAAACTCCTTAAAGGGGGTTATATAGAGGATTCTTATAGGGGTTCTTCAGGGGATACTAGCAGTTTAGACTGTGGCTCATGTGATCCTCTCGGGGTTTAGGGCTTTTGTGTCTAGGCATATGATTAGAGAATATCCGTGGTATGACTTAGGTGGACCCCCCACCCAGTAATAGTGACTATAAGGGATAGTAGTAACTATATCAGGGTCTTATTTTCTTAATATACCACTATTACAGGG